TTTTTTTTTTTAAGTCATAACAAGTAAAAATATCAGGTTTACAACTTCATCCTGATGTCTGACATGCACTCTAGCTATTAGATCTGTTGTAAAAAAATTTGTACTTTAAAAATTCAAGGTAACGTTAAGCACTTGGCAGGTTAGCAGGTTAACACAATTACCTGCTGAGATGGATTAAACAGATCCTGGTACGTTTCATATTGTCAGTGTAGTGAGTATACGATGGTTTAAACATTTTCTTTGGTCTTTAAATAGGTGACCTTAAGTGTGTGGCATGTTCATTTAACTCAAACCTTTTAAAGACCTAATGTTTTATTGTATATACCCATAAACATTTATTCTTAAATTGACAAAAGCGCTTTTTTATTTCAGGTAATGCAGTGCACCTCCACTGTACAGCGCTGACTTAGAATTATAAAGAAAGCATTGCTATGACAGTGGTTGCCCTTGACAAGGCTTAGCTCATCATGCAGGTTTTATGTCTTTTTTTCTGAGGTTGAGTGTGTGATATCTATTAATGCAACAAGAGTCAGCTGAATTTTATTTGTGGTGGTCAAAACGGAAATGGTGCAAACATGTCACCCATAGAAACACACCTGCTTTTTGTTTTTGTGGTTTTGGCAGGTTAATATGTAAACAGAATTTGATCTTTTTAAGTCATTGCTACATAGTGAGAAGAAACTCAGTGTTTTTACCCTCACAACAAAATTTTAAGCAGACAAAAAGGGAATATCAAGAAAGTGATATTGAGATTTATCAACTTTTACCTCAAATTCTGTACACAATGCATTTCTAACCGCACTGTATCATTTAAAAGCAGCTTTTTAAAGTAAAGTTTTTCTGTCAGTTTTTTTAAAAATAATTTCTGAATCTGATCACTTCTGATCCTTACCGACTGCTCTCTCAGCTTATCATACAGGTGCCCCAAGCGCTTGGCAGCATCATCAAGTTTTCTTTTAGTTTGCTGAAAGAGAAACACTTCTTGTCACTTTGTATCCAATAACAAAATCATTTTGTTTCAATCAATTTAAACATTTGCACCAGAAAAACTGTGAAACCTAGACGCAGCTACAGACTTACTGGGTCTCCTGCAGCTAGCTGGCAGCGCTGCACCAGGCTGTCAAAGGTGGACTTGAGAACCATGTGCTCAGGAGGGATTTCTTTCTGCTGCACCTTCTCTGATGGCAGCTGCTGGAGGAGCTGAATAACACAAGCACAGAAATATAAGGTGACAAGGTGTTACTGTTGAGAATTTACAAAACAGCCCCCTCGTTAGACACCAACCTGTACGCTGGGCTCTTGAGGGGCTCCAGGGGGTACCTGGGTGTTGTCAAGGGGCTGAGCAGCCTCCACTGGGAATCTCATCACAGGTGCTGTGATGGGGGCTGGTGGAGTATAGTTATCAGGAACCTGAATATACAACAAAGTATATTATAATGAGTGAGGAAAAAAAAACAATGAACCAAGCTGTTTAGTTTTGGTATATCAATAAATGACACATTTGTTACATTTTTGCTAAACTGTTGGTGTAACATAAATTCATCTGCCTTTTTTGCCTGTAAGAAAGAAGAAGTGCTTAATGTGAATGTGCTTGAGTTTTCAATAAGGGTGAACTAAACTAAGCTAGTTTCGTTTAGTGAGCTCTCGAGAGAATAACAATGCTCTCCTCAAAGGAACGTGGTGCCGCACAACAATATAGCTGCTTTTACTACATTTGCAAGCATACAGCAGAACAGTTTTTTGACAGTAAGAAATGCAGGCTTACCTTCTTCTTCCTGGGGCCACCTCGCACTGTAGGTGGGTCATTCCAGCCTTCTTGAGGTCCTGAATCAGAAGAATAATGACAATTATTAAGGAACTACTAACATTCGTTGTTTAGATACACTCAAGCAACCAAGGATTGTCTACAAGAGACAATCTCTTTGGGCCCAGGTGGTAAAAAACACTGCAAGTCAAGCCATACAGATTTGGCAGTTTGTGCAGAAACAAACAAGCAAATTTTCAGGCAGCATCATTCACTCAAAGGCAAAAACACAGAAAGAAAAATTCTATGAATATCATACTGAGTCTATTTCAGGTTAATTATGTAGCAGCTGCAAGTGTTTAAAAATGTCCTACTTATGCTTTAATTTCAAATAGCAATGTATATGCTATTGTCATCAATATGCGCGTCATCTTTAATTGCCTGACACAGAATCATCTACAGTCTTGTCTGAGTCTGGAAAATTCATTTAGAGCTCACATATAAAAAATACACCAGGTAAGTCTTTACATTTCCCTTCAATATAGGGTAACACAAACAATCATCAAGAAACCAGACAAATGGAGAAGATCTGCATGGATTGCAAACCAACGCATATTAATTTTGAGGTTAATTTAGGGATACTATATTATTTTGCACAGATATTTTTTTTCTGGTTCTTGAATGGATTGTTTGATCCTCCCTTATTCCATATCCAGCCCTAACCCTGTCACCTTGGTTGTCACACTGGGAATTCAGCCAGGGAAAGTATCCTGCAAGTCAAAAAGGAGTGACAGCGGAACAGATGTAAATCACCACGAGCAATACATTCCTGCTGACCTCTGTAATTTCTTTCTTTAAATTCATGACTAAAAAAATGTGGAACGGTGTCAGGAAACAATGTAGCTGTGATCTCATACCAGTAGGAGGAGGAGCCACCACTGGAGCTGGGAAGGGCTTTGCAGCAGGAGCTCCAGGTCCACCCTGTGGATATCCAGATCCGGGAGGAGCATAGGGAACAGACGGAGGTGCAGTACCCTGGTTGTGAAGGCTTCCTGGGTACACTGGAACCGGGGCTCCAGGCTGGGAGCCAGGTGGTGCAAAGCCTGAGGAGGTAGGTGGCATGAAGCTTGTTGGTGGCACCCCGGGGCTGGGCATGGGGGGTAGGCCTCCAGCAGCTGACGATGAAGGTGGCAGTTGAGGCCCTGATAAGGTAGCAGCTGGCATAGAAGGACCTGGAGGTGGAAACGCTGGAGGTCCAGCAGTGGACGGTGACTGAGGCTGGAATGGCTGGTGAGGAAGAAAACCTGGGAAAAGCCACAAATGATTGTCATAATATCAAGAAACAAAAAAGGGTAAAAAATACAAATAAATTCAAATATTCTACAAATGGTCAAACCTGAAGCCACAGCAGGATGTTGGGGGTAGGAGGGTCTCAGGGCAGGGCGGGTCGTACTGGGTGGCAGTACATGAGAAGAAGGTGGTAGACCAGGCCCAGGGTTGGTTGGAGGAGTTTGAGGGGTAAAAACCGATGGCAAAGGAGGCTGCTGTTGTGCAGTCATCTGAGCAGCAGGAGAGGGCTGGTAGTGACTCTAAATAAAATACAAATGAATACAAATTAAATACAAATTCATTTTGGAAAATGTATTTATTATTCATTGTGTTGCTAACAAACTGATACCGTAAACTGTGCTTTTGATGCAGGAGTTGGAGCAGCAGGAGTGGGCTTTGCAGTGGACACACTGACTCTGTTGAAGGTGTTTGGAGGTTGCTGTTGGACAGGAGCCTCTCCCTGAGCGTGAAACAGCCTGTTTCTTAGCATCACGATCCCAGCCTGACAAGACAAAATTGGACAAACATGCAGATGCAGTTATTACAAATCAAACAAAGCAAAGAAAAATGAATTGTGCCATTAATAATTAAATCATTTATAGCTATTTTACTTGGTCTGAGTTCTCAGGCAGGTAGCTCAGGGCAGTGGTCAAGCTACCCTCTGCAGCCAGTATGCCAGCATAACAGGTTAGCTTCTCAGCCAGGACTGGGCTTTGGACCGCCACCTCACAGTTACGGAGACGTTCAATGGACTTTCGCAGCATCATGACTTTCTCAACCAAATCCTGAAACACAAATAAATGCCTTAAGACTAATAGATTCTTCGCTGGCAGGTAACTGTAACTATTTTTCACCCCCGAATCATCCCAGTAAGTGCACAGCGACTCATTAAAACTTTGCTCAAATAAGCAGAAGAGTTTGTTCATCATTGCTAAAGGCAGATTAGAACAAATATTAAGATTATACCTCTAGACCAAGAGGAGAAGAGCAGTCTCTATGCAAGGCCCAGCATTCCACTAGCTTCTCAATGTTTCCAGAGCAGATGTAACACAGACATGCCTGCAGGCAACGCTTCTCTGTACCCTCACACTCCAACCGGCTTCCCAGTGTATCTACCATGATGAATAAAAGAAAATTACAATTTTTTTGAATAGAGTGAAGACTGAAATTAGAACAGATACCATGAGCACAGGTAGATTTGGTATGAATAAGGTGGATACTCACCGCACAGGCGAGCAAAGTCTTCAGGGTGAGCATAGGTCAGGAGAGCAGCGAGAGCTTCCTTCCAGTTGTCCAGCTCACAGCTTTGGACTATGTCTTTCCAGTTTTGGGTCACCACTGATGATATAAGCTGCAGTTGGAACAAGCACATTAGGTATACATTCAGGAAAAACATTTATTTCATTGTGGTTGTATGAGCTGGACCACTATTAATCATAATCTTACCATTGAGATGCTATTCTTTTGTTTGCTTAGGTATTTCTGTTGAGTTTTCTTCAGCAGTTCTTCTCCTCCGCTTATAGAAAGCAGGATTGCTTCAGCGAAGCGACCATCATTCAGACACAGATCCACAGCTCCCTCAAAGTTACCAACCAATAGCGCCTGACTTATCAAACCATCGGTGTCTTAAAAACAGAAGGAGATAATCAATGCGATCATAAAATCACAAGTAAATATCAGATAACAGTAGATTTTCAGAGGAGAAATTTTACCACATGACACTGGGATCTGAAAGTTAGAGTTTTCCTTTGGGGTCTGGCTGAAAAAATCTGCTGGTGACACAGAACCTGAAGTTCTAGCTTCAGCTGCTTCATCAGACCTCTGGAAATAACAAAGAGTGTTTTAAATGGAGCAGGAGACACACAGCTTGAAAACAGATACCGTATATTTGCAGAAGTGCTGACCTCAGTGGAGAGTCGCTGCATCTTTTCTGCCAGATCTTTGGCATCCACTCCATGTCCATTGGGTTGGAAATTCTTCCCCAGACATTTTGAAATCTGAATAAGCACAACAGGAAGTATGTGATATGATTTAGAGATCCAGTGCATTCACAGAAATTTTAAAGTTAATGTTAAATATCAGTGACTAGCTACAGTCAAGTAAGAGCCATGATACCTTTCTTTCCAATTCATCCTTGCTAAACCCCAAAAGTTTAAGGAATTTAATACGGGCTTCATCCTCAAAATTAACCTGTAAATTAAAAGAGTGAATCAGCATACAGGATAATAACACCCAAAACTGACTGACAGATTTAACATTAGGTCTTAGTAGCTGGATGGCGAACCAGAAGGAACTTCCATATGTCCTGTTCAGCATCTGACTTGGCGCTCTGAATCTTAGCCTGGCAGTAACTGTTGAAGGAACCTGACTGCAGCGCTGTCTGCAGCTCCCTAGAGCGCTGTAGGAACTCTGTCTCTGTGGTTACTTGGCTCACAAACACTTGTCTAGGGACGGGTTGGGGGCTCTGGACTGGAGGCAGCTTGGGATTCTCAAATGTGATCAGCTTTCCACCAAACTAAGAAACAAAAACAGATCATATATAAAGATAATTCTTCTGTTGTTTTTAATGGAAGAAAATTGCTACAAAAACATTAAATGCTGCACTTACAGCAAAGGAAGCTCCCACTGGCCTGCGCACCCACTTGGGTGGCTTCTTGAGAGGAGGAACTATGGTGTCCTGCACTTGAGGCTGAGGAACTTGCAAAGGAGGCAGCACCTGCCCCGTACCAAAGGGATCCATTGTGTCAAATGAGGAGGATATCTGTTAAATAAAACATAAAAAATGTTGAAACAAATATGCTGAAACAATTAACTGACTGCAGCTATTTTGATAAATAGTTCATAGACCAAGCAGACAAACAAGACATTTAAACATGTCAATATTTCTGTTGTGAAACTGATTAATATTTGTAGCAATTTTTAACAGCTGATGATTGAATAAATATAATTAGCTGTGACCCTGCTTCATGTGATAGCTTTCAACTATGATATAGCCATCTTTCAGACCTAATGTACAACATGTGTTTATAAGTCAATATTAAGTGCTTTACATGGGCACCATCTTGTGGACAAACAATGGAGGTCAGACACGGTTTAAACAAATAAAACCGTAAATACACACACAGTTAAATTCAAAATCTTTTAAAGACAGAGAAAACATTACTCTTTCAGCTGTGCTCTGCTGCTGAGCCTTCAAGCTCCCTCCCATCACAGAGTAAACAGTGATTCTCCCATCAAATGATGCCGTTGAAAGCAGCGCTGGATTCCTGGGGCACCACTCCACATCAAAGCACCACTGGTTAGTTGTTGGAAGCTCATAGATTACCTGAATAGAAGACACAGCTTTCATGATTGGAGGAACAAATATAGGTAACAACAATGAGGGCTTATTCACTCATAATACACAGGATTCTTGCCACAAAGTTACCAGAGCAGCTCCAACTAGCTTGAGGGTGAGGTAGGTTGGGGAGTTGTATATTAGGTACTTAGCTAATTATGTGTCACAGATGCAACAGTGGTGCTGTATTGCTGCAGCTCTGCAGTCAGTGAGAAAGGAAAGACAGACTCTAGGGAGCTTCATTCCTGCTTCAAGGTTATATCAGGGTAAAGCATGAAATGAAGGTTAACCTTTTCACACACAGCAGTCATTTAGCCTACCAACTAAGGATCAAGTGTAGTTTATCCCATAAGTGGATGGATGCCAGCTTAAAAGGCAAAATGATATTACGTCATAATATTTGCCTGGGGTTTTTTTTTTTTTAACTTTGAAAATTATAGTCTTTAACAGCTGGTTTATATGTGTAAAACCTCTAAGGGAAACATTAACCTAATAAGGTGGAATAGCTCAGTAGCTTAGAGGCTTGCCAAACACTTGCAGAATCCCTGATACATGAGCAGTAATTAAGATCATGTACCTCTCCTGTGTTTGGATTCCAGCAAAGGATCCGATTGTCTTTAGCACTACTAAGCAGGAGCTCAGAGTCAGCCTGGCTCCAGGATATAGACAAAATTCCCCTTGTATGGTTCTCCAGTACTTTAAGAGGTGATGTGGCAAAGCGGAGGTCCCACATCTGGATCACTGGCAGTCGGTCATCTTCAGAGGCCAAGACCAACTGAGTGGCCACATCAGGGTGCCAGAGCATTCCTGAACAGTGCATCTGAAATCACATAAAAGTAAAGAGTTAAAAATATGAGAGTTCATTTCTACAGGATGCAACATTAAAATCTGCATTTTTGCCTAACAAATGAGTCAAATTACTGAGCATCCAGAGCAAAACAGGATAAAAGTGGGATTTTGCATTCTACAAATAGTCTTGTCTCAGACAACACGTGTTGCTTTAAAATGATGGATGAGCCTTTTTGACTTGTTCATATGATTTCATTACTTTTACAGAAGGAACTCTGGACTTTTTTTAAGCCACCAACCCTGTTGCTATGATCACTGATCTTGATGATGGGCTCGTTCTTTCTCAGGTCCCAGACGACTGCTTTCCCGCTGGGGTTAGCAGAGGCCAGGATGTGCTGAACCTGCCGGTTCCATGAGACTACACTGATATCTTCAGCAGGCTGAAAAAGAAAAGAAAAAACAAGAATTGTTAGTCTAAAACAAAAACAAGTCTACCTGTGAGTCTTACTACAACAGATCCCTCATGATTATATGCATATAGGGACGGTTTGACATATGAGCAAAACATAAGTACTGGGTGACACTAGTCATGTTGATTGCCATAGACTTGGAATGCTTCCAGTGGTAAAAGTGCTATGTGAAAAACATCAGTATTAGCCAGAACTTCACAATCATTACACCCAGGAATGCAAATGCCATTCAAACACTGTTTGTTTCTGTTATGGAAATATCATGTAACCATGGCTTATTCTAACAGCAAGGACTCCCATGAAATATAGACAGCCTGTGCAGACATGTTTTTATTCAGCTATCTTGATATTGAGGAGAACAAGGTTATACCCAAATGTTGGTAAGAAGTATAGACACCAAGGCTTAAATTTACTCCTTAGCAAGCAAGTATTATATAACTATACAACCACAAATAAAATATTCTTGTGATTTCATTGTTTCTCACCGATATTAAATCTATAAAGGCAAAAAAAAAGGGGGGAAAAAGTCAAAACCTACTTACTGGGGAATTGTGGTTTGACTCATTATATAAACACATTGGTTTAGAAGAGAATAAGATTTCAACACCATGACAAACCACGTGATCCCATCATGTACTCACCTGTGTCTTTGCTCCTGGAGTCATAGGACTGCTGAAGTTGTTTAGATCCCAGATGTATATCTCTGAATCATTTGCTCCTGACGCAAGGAGGTTACTCTAAAAATTAATAAATTAAAACGTCAATCAGAAACACAGAGGGACGTCTGTACCGACTGTCTTTGAATGACAAAGGAAATCACCAGCAGGTTTCTATTTACCTGAAAATGGTTGAAATCTAATGCTCGGACAGGTCCTGTATGTTTGTCAGATTGTCCCACTACAGCCTCCCCACTGGAGTTCATTATTGCCTCTGGATCATAGACAGTCAGTGTTCCATTTTCACTACCACCAACCAGCCTTCCTCCAGTACCATCTTCTCCACTTCCAAAATTTACCCACACTATACTATGCAACCTATAAATGACATAGCAAGTTATTAGCACCCAGTGATAGACTGCATACTACAAAGGTTATATGCTTTATTTCTTTAACATGCTGTCTTCTGAACAAATAACTACACTAAATATCTCAAAAAATTAAAAAAAAAATGGAAGAATGAGTCTAAAGCAAGATGTGAGAACAATTAAAAAGATAGCAAATGAGCTACATTAATTTAATAATGTAGACTAAAAATAAAATAAAAGTTTATTTTAAGATTGCACTAGTTTTATCTATGTGGTATCAAATTAACTGGCAGGCCTGAATTTACTTGTTGATACAACCATTTGAAAACATTCAGTTTTATCAGTGTAAGGAATTTATGGGCAAGTCACAACATGAAGTGTCCCTTCTGTGACAGTCACTGTCTGCAGGTTGTGATAAAACTAACTTAAACAATCAGGGAGCCAAGAATCATATCAAACTGGCATAACGTGGTATAACTTTTCCATGGTTGCTGATATGGGCTGTGTGAAAACAATCAGTGGCTTATACTCTTGCCATGAATGTGTGGTCTTGTGTGGTCATCATTTATCTCTTCTTTACGTTACCTGTTTGTAGTTGCCAACGACCCTTTGAGCTGCATGTCCAGAGAGGGGTCAGAAAAATCCATCTCAAATATCTCTATAGCAGCTGTGGTGTTGAAAGAAGCATCAAGCTGTTGTGCTGCTGTTCCCAAGGCCAAGTATATAGGATGGTGCCCGGCAGGACTCCACGCCTGGTGGGCAGTCCTCTGGATCTCTTTCAGCCTCATCTTCCTCTACAGGTGTTCAAATTCCAAATCCTGGACAGCAGAACAGACTCCACTAAACCAATCACATTATATCCCAGTCCCTAAAATATATAATGTTGGCTTATTAATAACCCAAAATTCGCATTTATATCTCGAATATTCTTACTTTCCAGAGTGCCTCAGGCTATTGGCAGTAACTTAATCGTCTATACATAAATCTAGCTTTCGAATACGGTTGTGCAGAGTTATATGTTAATTATCACAATGAAATGAATGTAGTTATCCTCTAAATTAAACTATCGTTAAGCCCCTTTTAGGCAAGCTAACATAACATGTAGTTAGCTTTTATTAGCATTTAGCAATCATGTGTCAGAAACCGTAGCGTTAGCTTTTGTCGGTTAATAACTTTGTAAGAGCAGACTCTTCTACTGGTCATGATCTCAATCTATTTGTTTTAATGCTAAATTAACCTCTCATACACGCTGCTACTCGTTTTTAAATCCCGAGCTAACGCCGGGCTATTTAATTCTGGTGCACAAATGGACCAGATTGCAAGCTAGCCAACAGCCACCACCCCAGTTAGCATGTTTTAACAAAAAGGACCGCTGGGCGCCTTAAAACTCATCCCAAAAAAGATAAATATGGCCTTGAGAGAAACTTACGTCAATTTATTTGTCAGAACTTGACTGCCCGCATCTACTACAAACTCGAGAGCTACTTTACAGCCAAGCTAGCAGCTCAACCACAGCCGGAGTCGGACCAAAGTGCTTTGCCGTGTTGTCACTACGGTACGGTAGCTGACAAGGACATTCCTCACAGTAACCTGAAGTTAACCCAGTAATACTAAACCAGAGAAAGTGTATAGACCATGTTCATTGCAAAGAGTACATTTCATTTGAAAATTATTCTGCTTTATCAAAAGTCGAAAATTAACATTTAACAAAACAGCAAGAAGGCAAGTTAACATTCTTTACAGACATAAATAATAACAAATCACTGCAAATACAAACTTTTAACTTTGAACATAAGTCTTTATTCTTGACAGAAATATATATACACACACAGGTAGAATCACATTTTAGTGATTATAATTCATAATGTTTGACTTCTTCAGGCTGTTTTTCAGGATCTCCTCCTTTCTCTAAGTACAGGTCATTGAAGGGATATTGCTTCGGTGCCTGGAAAAAAACAAAAGACAATTCCTTTAATGAAACTTTGTACACCAACAGTGTTACTGTACAGAAAAGGTGATTCTAACTTTAACATACACTGTTATATAATTACTGAAAATAAAATATTTAGTAAATATAATTATGGAGATCACGTGTTTTGCCACATGTTTAGTATCTTCCTCTGTATCAACAATCATCTGCATATGCCTTTATTAATCCTTAATTTTTAGGAATTAATAAAGAATTCTGATTCTGAAGGTCACTCATGAAAATGAAAATCGGCCACTAGATTGCAAAAGAACCTAGCGTTAATAAGAAATCTTTATTAACTAGGGTTAGTTTAGGGGTATTGCCTTGATCCATGCTCAACCATCCAGATAAGACTGAGGTCAAACTGAAGAAGTCGCTTGGTTAAGTGATGCAATGTTTTTCTCACTGATAACAGAACGTCTAGATGAACAGAAATAGCTTTCTGGGGGTTTAGAGGGGTCCATCCTTCTAACTCTGTATCTGGCTCTGACACCATGTCAATGTCAGAGACATTTCGATTTTTTTTTTAAAAAAAGAAGAAGAATAAGAAAAAAAAGAAGGAAACCATAAAGAGTAAGTTATAGTGACTAAACTAAACTATAAAATTAAAAGAATGATGATCCAGCCATTTTGAAGCTGCTGAAAATTGTAACAGTGAGGAAAAAACACCAACAAAAAAACAAAGAAAACAGAATTCTTGCATTAAGGTGTGTACTTACAACAGGTTGGTATGCTGGAAATTTCTCTCCAACATAAAACATAAACAGCATGAACCCAATGAAACCAAACAGTTGCTTGCACATTGTGGACCATGACACAGGGCTGGGAGATGTATCCACACGGTTCCTGATGTACATATCAAAATCCCAGTGCATCTAAGAGGTAGAACAATCACAGATTAACTCTCAAACGCAATCTTAAATTGCTTATTTTATAATTCTAGTCAATTTGTGACAGCTCAGAAAACTGCATTCTGCAAAGAGAGCTGGGTCTCAGCCAGGCTAAACTGAACACAGTTCCTTGGTTAATGGTGCCGACCTCATTTTAGTTGCATTTTAGCCTGGGCCCTATCACAGGAAATGGGTTTCACTAAAACAGAGGGTTTTTAAAAAAACAAACACAGAGATCTGTGCAAATCTAGGTTTTCTGTTCCTGAAAGAGAATTAACTTAAACTCTGATTCAATTACCATGGTAACATACTCTTTAAACCTATCCTGCTCACTGGCAGATTTTCTTCATTCCCTCCTGCTGTACCTGAATCAGCTGAATGACACTTGGTTTCATTTCATTATTGAAATATGTTTAAGACTACATGTATTTGACTGACTTTTTAAAATGCAGGCTTCAGATATTCTGTGTTAAATGGTAAACAAACTGGTTCTTATATAGTGCTTTTCTACTTTAGCTGAGCACTGAAAGCACTTATACAGCATGCCTCATTCACCCATTTACACAAGCAGCTTTTTTTTAATGCTCAATTGCTTTCTAGGTTAGTATTTTGCCCAAGGATATCTGGCAAGCAGACTGGAGCAGCCAGAGATCTATCCACCTTCTAATTAGTAGATGACCTGCTCTACCTCCTGAGCTACAGTCAACCATGAACATTATATTGTGAAATGTGTTGACAGGTTCAGTTATTAAATGATATCAAACAACATTTTTTAAATGTCTATCTGAAATTCAGAGTCTGAACCTTAAAACATTTTCCACTTAAAATCCTCTCTATCACTCTAAGTGGGTTATGTAGAAGTGACTCTGAATCCAAGTGCATTTGTATGGCTGAACAGTAGGGCTGGGCGATATGGCCTAAAATCCATATCACGGTATAATTTGAAGCATGTAGGGTAACGATATACATCGCGATATATTCTTTTCTACAAATAAATAACATTGTGGAAGAGACATAAATGTCCTAAATGCATTTAGAATTTATTTAGAACTACAAATTAAATTTCTTTTAGGAATTAATGTTTTTTAAATCACAATTCCAACCCTGCTCCTTTATCCGGGCTTGGACTGGCAAAAGTGACCCGAAATTGGCACTCTGGTGGAGCTACTTTGTGTGTGGGTGTGTGTTTATTAGTAGTTTTAAACCTTGTGATCCACAAAACAGCATAACAGTAAAAGAAGAACTGACTGTGTTACAGTCAGTGCGGGAGCAGCGGCTTTGCTTATGCGCGATTCATTTGCAGTTTGAACGCATAGGTTTGAACGTCTCCTGTCCTGATAGCAGCTGGGGGAGGACTATCCTCCGCCTGTGAGCGCTTTGGCACGGGTGAGGTGCCCACGGCAAACTTCAGTCAGGAGAACAACTGAGATAATCCATCCACAATACGAAGTTAGTCATCAATATACTGCAACAACATGGGAATAGAGCAGCTGCGAGAGAATTCAACATTAACGAATCAATGGTAGGGAAGTGGAGGAAGCGCAGTTTTTGGCTTTCCCCATATTCCAAAAGTGCTTTGTCTCTTTGCTATTACTGTCGCTCGGCATAATTTGCAGATGATATTGTTTGCAGCTGCTGCAATGCTTTCGACCAAAACAGGCGCAGCTTGATGACACCATCAACATGTGCTATCACGGTAGAACGGTATAGTCAAAATCTCTACCGTTGGCTAAATTTATATCGTTTCTACCATATAACGTTTATACTGCCCACCCCTACTGGACAGATTGAAATGAATAAGGATGACAAATTCAGACAGGATTAGGCCTGGATCCACTGTAGATCCAGTCATTTCCCCAGCTCATCCTGTCCTGATCCATTATGATAGCCATTGATAGTAGCCAACCACGACCTGTATACCATATTTAAATGGCTCATCATTGCAAAAATCATACTGAAATGTCTAAAATCTAACTGACCAACATATATAGCTCTATAAAATCTTAGATATTTCTCATAAAATGTTTGTGTTTACTGATAAAACGTAACATTCTTTATGGACTCGTAAAGTTGCCCTCCATATTTTGAGTTGAATGTAAAACAGCTAGCATTACTTTTAAACTATAAATCAGTAAATGTCTGCTATGGGTATAAGAGAGTTATCATTTATCAGTGAAGGCTGCTATTAGATTAGACCATAAATGATGGAACTGGGGGACATTAAAGCAGATATGCTCTTTATTTACTTGTTGCTCAGGTGAATCCTGATATCAGAGCTACACCGATGATGTCTTTCTTTCTTTGCCTACTCATACACATGCTAAACTCAGAATTAGTTGACTGAACTAAGTCTGATCAGCTGTTCTGGAACTGAAAACCCAGACCTGTCAATCTCAAAGTTAATCACCAGAGACTAGACTAGAGTTTGTTTAACCTGCTTCCTGGAATAAGGCCTATGGTGGGCATAAACTAAGACTTTTAGACATAATGAGAGAGACACCCACATCTATTACCTCACTCAATTATATTTTATTTTAGTATTAACAAAAAAAAAATCTGAACTCATGCTAGAAAATATTAGTGTGATTGGAGCCTAAATATCTGAAAGAAATATTCTATATGGACAAGTTTGTTAAATCTTACATTTAATGGATATATAGTTTTAATTTTAAAAACAATATAATTCAGTAATGACAACATCATAAATAAAAGACAGGGTTTTTTCTGTTTTGAAATGTGTTTTGGGGGCTTGACTACACATGCAAGCACTATTGGTGCATAAATACCTAAAGCAACATACTTGTGTCCATTTGATAAACAAAACCGTAATAGGAAAACCTGTAAAAAGGTTCCACTCAGACAACCTAGACACAATTATTCAGGTAAAACTGCATAATTACTACTGCAATGCATTTCAAATAATCAACTGCTGTATGAACCATCATCATTATACTCATGATTTATTCAGAAAAAAAACAACAATAGCTTTTAATGTCAGTCGGTATCTTACCGGCTCTCCCCAGTTTCTCCTCAGGTCAGGGTGGTCCCATTGGTACCAGGGGTCTCTCTCTTGCTGAGATCTATCTGGCAGTTTTGGATAATCACCAAAGCTACAAAAACACAGTAATTGCTCATTATTTTCTTTGCAATCTTACAGTTTGTTTGTGACTTAACGTTATAAGAATGAATGGACTGGACAGTCATTTTCGCCGTCTATATTAGCAGTACCGGCAAAAGCAGTTAGAATTACAACAACAATCATCAGACTTGTTAAAATTAAAGCTCACCCCTCTCCATTGTCGGGATATGGTTCATAGTCCTCAACCCTCATGTTGTACTTCTTTGCAGCTGCAGCTCTTTCCTCGGGGGTCTTCGGATATGGCCCAGGCAGGCTGTCCTTTGACAAGCCGGAGGCTGAAAGAGCAATAAATGCATACGTGAAATCGCGGCAGTCAAAGCTCGCTGGCTCAAAAAAGGAAAACATGAGAATTTTATTTTGTCTGCCTGCACCCTCATAGAAGAGCAGCCGCCAAGCTAGCCTAAGCCAACCTTAGCATGTCAAGGTTACGTCCATAGGAGGCTAAAAACGTTAAACCCTGATATACACCTCCTGAGAAATTCATTGTACAGCACTACCAGACTAAGACACAACTAACCTGCTCTACATCCCGACAAAAGGGCTGAAATACCAGACCCCTTTCCCTTAGACAGAGCTTGGGCCCACCGTCGGAAACCAACACCAGCCATGTTTACTGGCTGCTGCTGTTCGACATACTCTAAAGTGCGCATGCGCAAGATTTCAAGTACGGTTCGGCAGAAGGAAAAACTCCGTACTCACAATTTGTAAATAAAGGTAAATAACCATTAAA